AAAAAAAAAAAAAAAAAAAAAGAAAGGTTCTAACATACCATAAACATCATGAAAAATATATGAAATGTTACTTTCCAGAAAACTGAATAATGACAGTTGATTATGCTCTGAAACAATCACTGTTCAGTTCTCTTGATTTCTTCTAATACTCCTTCCTGCACCCCCATGTCAATACATGTCATTCTTTAAATTGTGGGCTGATCTCACAGGGTTTGAGAAGGAAGCAAAGACAGCATAACCATGGGGTGAAGGCAGCATGCTTTATTTATACAGTCTCTAGTTTGCTAACGTTACAAACAAAAAGTCATTATAAACTCTGACCCTAGATGTCCAGAACCCCCTTGAACACTTTACAAAACTTATAAAGTTCTATCATAATAGATCAATCTTTAGGGAGAAATGTGCTTTTAGTAGTCAGAGAACTAACAAAAGACGTACCTCGACAGCAAAAACAGAATATGAGTAACAATAAGCTGTGAGTACATTTGAATGATATATCATGTCAGTTGTATCATTAATTCACAAGGCTGGTATGGTTTTGACTCTTGTTTACCTTTATTAAATATTTCTTGATGTCATCATATTTCTCCACAGAGAAGGCACCAACATGCTGAGGAATGAATTCCAAACTCTCTAGTGTCTGAGTCTGTGAACGACTTAATATTTCTGGACTGTAAAAAGAGAAAAGAAAGCCTATCATATATTTCAGGAAAGCAAGATAATTGTAAGTGCACGTGAAGCACAGTCACCAACTAAGGATGAAACGGAGCATCTAGCACAGTGTTCAGCCCAAATGTGTGCATAACTGGTAACTGACCTGCTGTTAGGTTTATGCAACAGTCATTCAAAGTAACATTTAATGTTACTCCACACCAACCACAATAAATTAATGAAGATGTTGCACCAATAGAAACCATGGTGTTGGAAAATACTATAACGTTAGCTTGAAGAGAAAACTGGCGATAGACTTGTTAGTGATAATAAAAATGGAATAAAGGGGAGAGGGAGAGCTAAGGATTAAGGAAAATAAATCAAATGGCAAAGGCTGAAATGGAAATGAGCTCAAGAAGTAAGGAGATAATGTGGATGCCACAACAGTGGTGCGGTAAGCACACAATGGGTAAAAGGGAAGCTCCGGATGAAGAGGCTAAGATAAAACACATACTAGTCATCAACTGAAATTTTTGGTAATGGCACTCTATTAGATTACAATCAATGAGAAATTAGAAACAGTGCACAATTATCATTATGATACTGATTTAGATAAGCAAATAAGACCTTTGTGGCAGCAATGTGGTTTTATACAAAAGTTCTTTCATTCTTACTTCTTGGAAACACCCAACAAGAGTTAACCAAGGTTAACTGTAGGGCTCAAGTCTCAATGCCTATGCACATGGGCTCTATCAGAGAAGGGTGACCAACTGCATCCCACACAAGGGCAGGTCCACAGCTTTAATCAATCCTGGGAGTTTCCATTTTTTCTACTGATAGAAAGAGTAGGAGGTAAAAATTATAAACTTCATGAATGAAACACTAATCAATTCCCATTTATCCCAAACACAGGAAAAAACAAAACAAAACCTTCTTCCTATACTATAGGGATTAGCAAGTTCTTTAGATATGAATGCTAGTCAATGCCTGCAGAAGTGACTGGCCAAGTTAAATAAGGAAATATGAAGAATGGCAGATGGAGAAAAACAAAAGCAGGAAAAAGGAAAAGGAGAAAAGGAAAGAAAATAAGAAAAAAGTAGAAAAAGAGAAACGAAAAGTACATCTGTAATTTTTCTTTCAGCACTTCAAAATTGTTGTGCGACTTCCTTTTGACCACCAAGGTTTCTGACAACAAGTATGCAGCCATTTGAATTGCTGTTTTCACATACATAATGCAAAATTTTTCTCTATCTGCTTTCAAGATTTTTTTCCTTCCAATTTGAATGTAATGTGTCTGTACATGGATATCTGTTTTTTTCTAGGATACAGTTTGTTCAGCTTCTTGAATGTGTAGGTTTATGTCTTTCACCAAACTTGGGAACCTTTCAACCACTATTTATTCAAATATTTTTTCAGCCCCACAATTTTTCTCCTTTCCTTCTGGTATTCCAAGGACACAAATATTAGACTCTCAGGTCCTTAGAGCTCTATTCACTTTTTTTTCACGTTCTGTTGTTCATTTTAAATAATTTCTACCAATCTGTTTTCACATTTACTGACTCTTCTGCTGTAATCTCTAATTTGCTACTGACCCCACCCAGTGATTTTTAAAATTTTGGTTACTGTATTTTTCAATTCAAAAATTTTGATTCGGTTCATCTTTGTATCTTCTATTTCTTTGCTGATACTTTCAATTTTAATATTTGTTTCAAGGATGTTTGCAATTGCTCATTTGAGCATTTTTATAATAGCTGCTTTAAAGTTCTTGTCAGATAATTCCAAAATCTATGGTAGGGGGTTGTTGATGTCTATTGATTGTCTTTCCCCAAATGAGTTGAGGTTTTCATGGTTCTTTCATTGCCACGTAATTTTGGTTTATTTCCTGGACGTTTTGAGTATTATGTTATGAGATTTTGGGTCTTGTTTATTTCCTAATGGAGAATGTTGCCATCCATAACATAGTAAACATAGTAGAACTGAAACTGTTATCTTTACAAGGACCTGCTTATAAAGTTGGCCCTTGGCTGGTACCTGGGAACTAAGCTTTCTAAAAGTTCCCTATACTAATATGAAACGCTTCCTAACTGATAAGGATATTTTGCTGTCCGTAGACTGTACTAAAGTGATTTGTGGTGAACATCTGCTTCCTTCTGGGACTATGGAATTTTGGTAGTTGCTAAGCACAGGATGCCTATGTGACTAGTCCCCAGTAAAAATCTGGGGCACTGCATCTCTGATGCGCTTCCCTGAGCAGAAACATTGTGTATGTGTGGCTGCATTTCACTGCTCTGGGAGAGAGTGTGCTCTGTGTGACCCCTCACAGAAAGGACAGAGCATGGGAAGCTTGCACATGGGTTCCTCCAGACTCTGCCTGTGTCTTCTTCCCTTATGACTGGGCTGTGGAGCCTTACTGTGTTGCTGTAATAACTCTTAGGTGTGAGTACGACTATATGTTGAGTCTTATGAGTCTGTCTAGTGAATCACTGAACGTGTAGGTGATCTTGGGAATCTCTGAAACAGCTGATACTTTTGTTTCAGCCATCTGTGGGCTGTGGCTCCAATGTCAGTTCACTTCTCAAGGGCTTTGCAGTCCTATCTGGGTCTTTCTGTGAGTACCACTGAGGTGTTAGTCTGGGACCTAGGTGGAAGTCAACTTAGTAGCTGAGTTCTCAAAGTGTTTGGCTGATTCAGATCAAATCCATGCATGCAGGTCTGGGGTGAATCCAGGAGTTCATAAACAACTTTACAGGGTTGTTTTCCAGAGCTCCTCTCTTTCCATGACCTCCTCAGCATTTTCTGATTCCCCTTGTAGGTCCTCCAGCCAGAAATTGCCCACTTCCATGAAGTGGTAGGAGGATAGAGAGAGAGGCCAAAGAGCAATGAGGTTTGGCCAGGACTCTTGGACCTGATGATTCATCAAGGGAGAAGAAGGGTCCACTCCTGCAAGAGTGCTGCTCCTGCACGCATCCTGCTTCATGGCTGCTCCAGCCACAGCCAGCACTGCCCCTGCCAAGTGCCTGCAGGCTGAGGCATGAGAAAGTGGAGAAAGAGGAGAGAGAGAAAACCCAGTGTACCTCCTCCACTCTATCTGAGCTTTAGGAAGTCTCTTTTCTGCATCTTGAGCCAGAAAGAGAGGGGTTTTTCTGGATCTCTGTCTGTCTGCACCACAGTGCCTGCTTCTAGTTTCAGGTTATACTGGGTTTAGGATGAGGAATATTGAAGTTAAGAAACCCAGTAAACTCACCACTGGTTGGGTGGTACTCTAAATTCAGCTGCTCTTCCCCAAAACACCTGCTGATATTTACTTTTCAGAGTTTCAAATAAATGTCCATGCATTCTGCCTAGGTTTTATAGTTGAGTTCAGTAGCAAATACAAGGAGGTGTGTTTTATCCATCCTTACCCAGAAGTACATAATTGACTTTTAAGTTATATTTAAAAACTAAATGTGGGAAGCCTTGACAACTTACTGGTTTTAAGTTTCGTCTTCCTACCAGGCTCTGTCCTATGCTGGGAAGGCATTCACGCACCTGTCTCTGTGTTGGCGCCGACTGGTAGTCAGGGCCACAGCAATATTGTCCCACGCTTTCCAAACTTCCCCTTGGCCTGGGTTCTCACAGCCAAGCTGATGCCAACATTCATCAAACACTGCTTTCCACTTCTCATCAGCCGGCACTGCCAGGTTTCCAAGCTTCCTGCTAATAAGGTCATGTCAGCCTCTCATTAATCACTTATTTTGTGCAAAAACCCTGAAGAACAGAAACTTTCTAATATACAACTGCAAATACTTCTGTGACAAAAACTGCCTAAACTGATGGTGGTTCCATTGTTTAAAAATTGAATAAAAATTTAAACGGATGGTTTTTAGCTACTTAGTGTTTATTAGATATGAATTAAGTAGGAAGCACATCAGAACTGACTCCTTTGCTTTCTACATTTCCATAGAATTGATGTTGTAAAATTGATCCTTGCTAAAATGAGGACTTCCTGTGCCTTGCACATCTTATACTGAGAACTGTGAAATGCATTACATACTGGGTTCTAAAAATACTAAGAATAAACATGGTACAGAAAGTATATAAAGCTCCCATGAAAACAAAGAATCTGAGATGCTATCAAAATACAAAAGCAAAGCTAAAGCTAGAAACAATAAAGGGAAATAAACATGCCAAAAACTTGGAGGAAAAACATCATACACTTAAAGACTTTGACTTTTCCCAATATATGCAGCGTATTAGTGTATATATAGGATTGACCTTTACTTTTCAAAATCAAGTTGTGCAAGGCTTCCATTTAAAAATCTCTCTTTCAATCAACTTGGATACCTGCACCATTAACAGTAAGATTATTCCCGCACACAGAACTTTCATCATTTTAAACATTTAAGCTCTACAGCTATAAACTAAGCCAAGAATACAGATTTAGCTATCTATAGCAGTTTCAGTTTACAATTCAAGGTTATTCATTGTTTAAAGACAAAAAGAATTAAAAAACTTGTCCTGCATTTGAAATATTAACCAGCTTTGATAAAAGCAAGACAACTCAAAACATTCAATAATTAATCCATAATTAACACTAGTTACTCACAAAACTTTAGGTCTGTCTTTATCACTCTCATACAGACTAGGCTTAAAGTACGTTCCAGTGATTTTTATCCCAGATCCCCATTCTCCACTAAAATAACCTTCAATGTAGTCTCCATTTGGCATAGTCAATGTTCCCTAGGTAAAGTCAGAAAAAATGTGGAATTAGAGGAAATATTTTCAATCTTAAAAATCAAGAAAAAAAAGCACTAAATGGTTAACATTTTCATTTTTAACTAGTCCCTAATTCTTTTTAAAAAGCTGTGTACATGCATGTGCAAAAAGAGTGTGTGAAAACAATCCATGGATTAAAGAAAAATCACAGGAAAAATTGGTAAAATATTTTTACCTGAATGAAATGAATACACAACTTATCTAAATTGATGCGACGCTACTAAAGCAGTACTTAGAGGCATATTTAAAGCTGTAAACATTTATATTATAAAATAAGGAAGATCTCAAATCAGTAATCTAAAACTCCACCTCACAAAGTTAGAAAAAGCAAACTAAACCCAAAGCAAGGAGATAATAAAAATTAGAGCAAAAATCAATGAGACAGAAAACAGAGAAAAATGAATGAAGCCAAAAGTTGCTTCTTTGAAAAGATATACAAACTTGACAAACACTTAATAAGACTGATCAAGAAAAAAAGACACTTAACTAGATCAAGAAAAAAAAAGAGAGAAAACATAAAATTACAAAATCAAGAAATGGGACATTACACCAACCTTACAAAAATTAAAAAGGTTAGAAGGGAATACCAAGAGAACAACTTTATGCCAATAAATTAGGTAACTTAGATGAAATAGAAAAATTCCTTAAGAGGAACAAATTACCAAAAGTGCCTCAAGAAGAAATGAAAAGTCTGAATAGACTAATTAGAAGTAAGGAAATTAGAAATTAAAAACCTTCTCACCAAGTAATGCTCAGGCCAAGATGATTTCACTGGTGAATTCTCTAAAACATTTGAAGAAGCAATAATAACACTAAGGCTTTACAAATTCTTTCCAAAAATGGAGAAGGAGGGAACCCTCCCCAACTCATTCTTTGAGGCCAGTATTACCTCAGTACCAAAGACAAACATCATGAAAAAAGAAAACTATAAACATAATAAACACCTCATAAATATAAATGTAAAAATCTTCACCAAAATATTAGCATGAATTCTAGCAATATATAAAAAGGATTATATGCCATGACCAAGTATGATTTATCCCAGGAAAACAAGGTTGCTTTAACATCAGAAAAGCAGCCAATATAATATGCTGTATTAATAGCATAAAGAACAAAAACCACATAATCATCTCAATAGACACAGAAAAAGCCCTTTGACATAATCTAAAACCTGTTCATAATAAAAAAACTCTCAGCAAACTAGGAATAGAAAGGAACTATCTCAACCTGATGAATCTATGAAAAATCTTTAGCTACATTATACTTGATGGTGGAAGATTTAATGCTTTTCCCCTAAAACAGGGAAAAAGGCAAGGATGTCCACTCTTACCACTTCTATTCAACATCTACTAAGAGTCTAGCCAGTGCAGTCAAACAAGAAAAAAAAATCCTTCCAGATGGCAAAAGAAGAAGTAAAACTGTCTTTAGTTGCAGACAACATGATCCTGGATGCAAGAAATCCTAAGAAATCCATTAAAAAAAATCCTACTAGAACTAATACATAAATTCAGCAAGGTTTCAGGCTATAAGAACAAAATACAAAAATCAATTGTATTTTTATATAATAGCAATGAACAATCCAAAAATAAAATTAAGCAAACAATTCTCTCTATAATAGCATCAAAAAGAATGCTTAGGAATAAATTTAACCAAAGATATGCAAGAGATGCACATTGAAAACTCCAAAACATTGCTGATGGAAATTAAAGACCTAAATAAATGGAGAGACATTCCACATTCATGGATTGGAAGATTCAATATTATTAAGATGGTAATTCTTCCCAAATTGATCTGTAGAGTAAAAATAATCCCTATAAAAATCTCAGCAGGCTTTCTGCAGATTTTAACAAGCCAGTCCTACAACTTATATGGAAAAGCAAAGGATCCAGAATAGCCACAATTACCATAAAAAAGAACAAAGTTGGAAAACTTACACTTCCTGATTTCACAACTTACTAGAAATCTATAGTAGTCAAGACAGCATGGTACTGGCATAAGGAGAGACATGTAGATCAATGGAATATAATTCAGAGTCCAAAAATAAACACATTTTATAATGAATTAACTTCAACAAAGGTGTCAAGAAAATTCAATGGGAAAACTTGCTGACGCAATTGGATACCCACATGCAAAAAGATCAATTTAGACTTTTAATTCACATCATACACAAATGACCTCAAAATGAATCATAGACCTAAACATAAGAGCTAAAACTATAAAATTTTTCAAAGAAAACACAGAAGAAAATCTTAGTAATCTTGAGTTAGGCAAAGATTTCTTAGATATGAAATCAAAAGCATAATTCATCATAAAGTTTTTTTGATAAACTGGACTTCATTAAAATGAAAAACTTTAGTACTTCAAAAGGCACTATTAAGAAAACAAAAAGACAATTCAAAAAAACAAAAAACAAAAAGACAAGACACAGACTACAAGAAAATATTTGTGAACCCTGTATCTGATAAAGAATTTGTATCCAGCCTATATAAAGAAATCCTTAAAATTCAATAAGACTATAAACAAGCAAATTCTTAAAATATCAAAATATCTGAATATACATTTCATCAAAGAAGACAGATGAATGGCTAGTAAGTACATGAAGATATGCTCGATAATGAGTCTATGAAAGTCAAAACCATATCACTTTACACCCACTAGAATGACAAAGAGGAAAAAAAGAAAATAAAAAATACTGGCAAAGATGTGAATAAATTAGAATCCTCATACACTGATGATGGGAATGTAAAATGATGCACTCACTTTGGAAAACAGTTTGGCAGTTTCTTAATATGTTAAACATCAATTTTCCATACAACCCAGCAATTGCACTCCTAGGTATCCACCCAAGAGAAATGAAAACACATGTTCACACAAGAAGTTTTAAATGTAAATGGAACAGAAACAGACTCACACATACAGAAAACAAACTTGTGGTTACCAAAGGGGAGTGGATGGTATAAGGACAAATTAGGGGTATGGGATTAACAGATACAAACAACTATATATGAAATAGATAAGCAATAAGGATACACTGTATAGCACAAGAAATTATACCCATTACCCTGTAACAACCTATAATGTAGTATAATCTGCAAAAATACTGAGTCACTATGCTGTACACCTGAAACTAACACAATATTGTAAATCAACCATATTTCAACTAAAAAAAGAAGAAAAGAAGAAGTTGCAGTCAACCTCAGTATATACACAGTAGCCCAAAGTTGCAAACAGTCTAACGTTGGAAATAATCCAATGCCCATCAACTGGTGAAGGGATAAACAAAATGTGGTTCTTATTCAGTAATAAAAAGGGATAAAGTACTGCACATGCCACAATATAGATAAACCTCAAAAACATACTAAATGTGAGAAGCCACAGGGAAGAGAATACTTGTTATATGATTCCAATTATATGAAAGGACCTGAAAGGGCAAATCTATAGTTATAAAGTCCATCAGAGGTTGTCTGGGACTGGAGGTGGAACCAGGGAGTGACTGCAAATGGGCAGGAGATGGTGAAGGAAATCTTTTTGGGTGATGGAAGTGATCTCAAACTGGATGGTGGTAATGGTTGCACAGCTCTGCGTATTTACTAAAAATCACTGAAATGTATGCTTAAAACAGGTGAATTTTATTATAGGTTAGCTTTGTTAAAGGTCAGGAAAAAATTAGTAAAAGATTATCAGAGAAAGACAGAAGTTTCCAACCTTTCCACTCAGGGTCCAATCATCTGAAAATTCTCCCTCATAGATAGTATCATCTTCAGAAAGTAAAACTCCATTTCCCTATGTGAAGAAACAAAACAAAAATCACAACACATAAAACACACAGTAACTTAGGATACCCACAGTCACATCCCCCAGAGCCTTACATAATCTTAAGACAAGAAAAATAGTACTAGGAAAGGTAGAACACTAATAAAAAGATGAGTTAAGGACATAGGAATTTCAAAAAGTCAAGAGTAACTATATGTAAAATATTCCACTCACCATCATTTTATTAAGGTGGAAGTTGCCTTCATAGTATAATCCAAACTGGGTAACTACCACACCATTCCCTTGACATACATCATCTTGCCACATGCCCATGTACTTCTCCCCTCTGCAAAGAAATAGGAGAAAAAAAAAAGAAATGAAATAAAAAATCAATGATGATAAAGATGAGGTGGGGAAAAAAACAATTATCACATGGGAGGTACCAAGCATCACCCCTAGGTTGGTATCTGTTCCATTTCTCTAGTCAAAGTGGTCAACTCTGTCTCCTCAAACACAGGACAATGTGATTGTAAAATATATCCTACTCAGAGCAATGTTCTCTCAGGAATTTAACTTTATAGTCTACCAGACGTAGATCTGTATATACTTCCAGTACTTCCTTGATAACTTTAAAATATTTAATTAATGCCAAGAATTCAACTCTAAATAATGTCATCAAAATGAGTTACTCAAAAGGTAGGCTCAAACCTATGCACAATATTTTCTCACCCAAAAGTTTACTAACTTAAAAGAAATGGGATTTATCATAAAAGAAGGTTCATTCTTCACCTACTCAAACATCGAGAAATTTTACTAATCTCCACTAAAAAAATTAAAATTAGTACAAACTGCCCGTTAAATAATCATGGATTTTAGTGATAACAGCAAAAATTTTTAAATCACACATTATGACAATAATATGAGAGGAAGAGTATATATTTAGTCCAAAAGCAAATCAGGCCAAACCAAATACAGAGGCAAAAGAACTATATTTCTCCCCAAGGTTTAGTTAATTGAATTTAACCAAGCTTGATTCCTGGGTTGCTGGCATGGTTACAAGTCTCTAACCTGATAGGAAGACCTAGGCAGAAAGGTGTTTAGATACTATTCTATGACCCCAAAAGGGAATTTCCACTGATCCTTCTAACCTTTTACTCCTGTTACCTACTGACTGCATTAAAGGTATCTCTCTGTATAACAAAGATTTGGTAGCCTCTTTGAGACACTAAAAGCTTTTTATGTGTGAAGCTTTAAGGAAAATGGCACCAATGTTAATTCTGAATCATCTTGATCTTGTAAGGAAGTAACCTGTTGTTTGGTTCACAAACAAATGCATAAAATGACACCTGACAACTCTGTCTTATTAAAAATGTTCGAAGTATTGTCAAATTAAGGTGCTCAGCCTTCATAAAATCATCAGTTTTTGGAGAAGCAGAGGAAACTTATCCTCTCATGCTAAACTGTGAGATTAGAAGCAGGATACTGTACCTAGTGATATCATCAAAGACACCGTATCCTGATTTCTTATCCATTACCCACTGGCCAATGAACATACTGGGAGAAGATGAAGTCAACTTTCCACTTCGTAGGAGACCATGACCATGACGCATGTTATCTTGAAAACAGCCTTCAAAAACTTCACCAGAGGCGTAACTGTGGTTAGAAAGAATGAATAAAGATCACAAGCACATTGAGTTCTGATGCTTATTTTTACAAAGTTTAGGAAATTCAAAATTATACTCATGTCTCACCGGTAGCTGTAATTATTTGTTCATACGACTATTTTTCACCAATCAAAAAATCCCATTTTTGTTTTTTTTTCCTCATGGCTTTTTTTAAAAAAACATCTTTATTGGAGTATAATTGCTTTACGATGGTATGTTAGTTTCTGCTTTGTAACAAAGTGAATCAGCTATACATATACATCTATCCCCATATCTCCTCCCTCTTGCGTCTCCC